AAACCAATAAAAGTTTAACACCTACATTATTTATTCTTTTGACCCAATAATAGATTCCCATGACCCTTAGAGTGTCATTAGACTGACCAACCAAAGGTTACTGCCTGAGTTCTGTGAAGAAGAAGGAAGAGAGGAAGATGAACAAGAAGAAAAGACACCACCCAAAATTCTCCATCTTGTTCCCTAACTACCACTATACTGTAAAAACCTCAAATTTAAAACCCATCACCCAGTGAAAACACACACATCTAACCCACTACAACATCTAACCCACTACACATTTGTGATTTCTAACTCATCATTTATATTTACAAGTCTTCTCCAAGGTTTCAAGTCCAGTGCAGTGTTTTTCAGAGTATCTGTGCCCAGAAGCACAGAAAGCTCAAAAATTCCAGTTTCCTGAGATCCAACACTGGTGATCTGTTGAATCCGGAACACAGAAACAAAGTATATTTTACCATATTATCAGAATATGAAAACCAGAATATTAGCAGCTACAAGGAACTAGAGTCAGAAAAATATAAACAGCCAGAGATTTCCTGCTCTCCCTTTAATACTCTCTTAGGGGTTTCAGAAATAGAAAATTTAGATCCCCATGTTAAAGGTACTGTCTCCACTATCAGCTTTACAGATTCATTTAGGTTCTACATTCACATCATGAATGAGATGATGATGCAGGATTTCAGCTCTGTGGTATTTGGAAGCTACTTTGCAATGTACATCTGAAATTATAAAGTATGCAACAGTTTCAGAGGAAAGCAAATAAATAAAGTATGTTGTGACATGGATTTAATCGCTGTAAATTTGCATATGGGAAGGTTTCAGCTTGAAAATATCAAAAGACAGTAGTGCCTTGGAAACAGATTCACCAGAACATTGAAAAGAAATCAAAATAAGAAAAATCAAAACTGAATTAAACAAAAAATGACGAAAAGAAATCAAGTGAAGGGCTTAACATTTCCCTTCTGTGAGCTGCAACTCAGGAGACCTGTGTTGAGGGTCCAGCACTGGCACAGGCTCCCTCCCTGCCTGAGTTTGACACTTTGGGAAGGAGCCTTTAAATAACTCTGAAGAGCTGCTTTCATGCCCATGTTTTCAGTGCTCACCTCCAAAATCCATCTGTTCATTCTATGACTTTGCAGAGCAGCTGCAAGAACTTTCCTGTGGGCCTGAAGCAAGACTGGATAAAGGCTGGGAAAAGGAAAAAGGGCTGGATAAAGTCAGTGAGAGTGTTTTCATGGACTTTAATGAATTTTGGATCATCTCTCTCCTTTCACTGGTGCAGAATTCCACTTGGTAATTTCTTCATCTTCAATCATCTCAGTCAGCTTCTAATGATTGGCATTGTTTCACACTTTTAAAGAAGCATTCAACTGCCCAAAAGCTCTGCATATATATTGGCCATCTACTGTTAATAATGGCTGTGATTTATCTGGATGAGCTTCTTCTAAGAGAAGTTCATTAAGATCTGTATCTATTGGAAAGTCTTAAGCCCATATAAATTTCCAAATGTCGAAGGTTGTATCATCACAGCTTATTTACACAGTGTGATACACGTCCTCATATTTGCCCAGACACGGATCTCACTTGATTTGAAACAACAGCAGGTAGGGACAAATTAGTTTATTACTCTGGATAATTTCTCTTCCCCTGAGACCACCTCTTTAATTCACAGCCAGAACAGCCCAGAGTAAATAAACAAGCAGAGTCTACACTGTAAACCTCAAAGAAGGGAGAGATACTTCTCTGAAGCCAAGGAGGGCTGGAGGATGGATCCTTACTTCGTGTTCCTGTTGCAGCTCAGAGCTACCAGGTGTCTGGAGCAGCTCTTTACAGTCTGTTTTTACAGTTCTCAGTAAAGAGAATTGTCAGCTTGCATAGAAACATTATTTTAGCATCCTGATAGCAGCAGGGTCCTTTTTTTATTGGCCCCCTCTATTTATGCATGAAGAAAAAAAAAATCAAGATAAATATATCTGTTTCCTTTTAATGATTATGAAAATAATAGAAATTACTCTCAGAAATAGACAGACAAAAACTCAAGTCAGATATATTTATACCAGTAAAGTTCTCTAGACATTAAAAAAAAAAAAAATCTATTACATATTCCAGCATAATTTTAATTTCCTTCATTCTAAAGATTATTATTTAGTTTTCTACTTATATAGCAACTAAGATAAGACTGTGTAGTCTGTGAGTAGAACTGCTAAACTCAGCATAATTATTACTACCCAAAAAATAAAAAAACAACTTTAATCGAAATCTGAGAGTATGACAGAACCCAAACTCTCTCTCAGTAACTCTAATTCATTCTTATCCTCAAGCAAACCTGAAACATATATGAAGTCTGTTGGGTTTTTGGCCCAGAATATCTTTTAGCCAGTTTGTGTCTGGAGAATCTCTCTTGTTGCACTCCAAGCCTGTAGATTACCTATTTCTCATTCAAATGGCTTTTGCAATGTTAAATATTTTCCCTGCCTTCAAATCAAAATTCAGAATTTGCAGTAGCTACAGAGCCTGCCAAGAGCAATGGCTTGTGCAGGTCATAGGGTTTGGTTTCATGTCCAACCCATGGTGTTCTTCATCCCAGTGCTTGGAGAATTCTGCCCAAGCTCCAGAGGATCTGACTGTGTTCTTTTTCTGCTGGACATGGGCAAGTGTGTGCCTACACAGGAGCTCTCTGACACATGAGGAGAGGCTGAGAGAGCTGGGACTGCAGCCTGGGGAAGGGGAGGCTCTGGAGGACCTTTCCCATCTGTAAATACCCGAGGCAGAGGGATAAATAAGGTAGGAGCAGGCTCTTCTCAGTGGTTTCTACTGACACGTCAAAAGACAGTGATCACAACCTGAAAAACATGAAATTATTTTTGAGCATATGAAAAACTTTTTTTTTTTTTTTTTTTTTTAGTATAAGATTCACCAAATGGGGGAATGGATTGCTGAGACTTGTGGGTCCTCCAGCTTTGGAGAAATTCAAAATCCAACTGGACACAGCCCTGATCACCCTGCTTCATCTCCAGAATCACCCTTCTGTGATTCTGTAACTGAACGGGTGGTGAATGTTGTTGCCTGGCACCTGAAGAAATGTGACAGGATTCTATAGTGCCACAAAATAGTTTGGGTTGGAAGAGACCTTCAAGGTTCACCTTAGAGCCTTTCCTCTTTAAAAGTGCTGTGAAATATTAAATAAACAGAAAAGTGAGAATTGTTCCCAAGTGGGAGGAAAGTTTCAATGGTTAGTGGTGTCCATCCCTTTACAGAGCTTTTTTACTTAGGTGAGTGATTTGAGCAACTCCTCTTGCAACATTAAAAGGACTTTGGCTGCTGAATTTGTGCAGCTAAAGTTAGAAGTCAACAGTGAACCTTTCTGCATCTGAGAAAGTCATCCTGAAGATCCCTTTGCAGTTAATGTGAGTCAATACCAGCCAGTGAAATTTAGGCCAATATGGAGTTGATTACTTTATTCAAATGATCCCCACCCTAAAAATCTTTGGTTATATTGATTAGATCAGTAATTACTGTAATAGAAGCCTAGAGCCTGGGAGTCATTATTATCACATGGAGGTGCTTACACCTTAAATTGGCTGGGATGAATATCATCTTCAGAAGGGTATCCTTCCCATTAGAGGGTTTTTATTGCCTCTTTGAGGTGTTTATGTGAATACAATGCAGGAGCCCTTATCTCTGCCTTGTATCTGCAGCACAGCACATAATGGACATCTGGTTTCAAAATATTATCTAACAATCTTATTATGAGCAGTTTAAAAATTAGCATAAAGGAAAATATGTTTGTGTCTGTATTTGGCTGCTTTGTGTCTGATCATGGTCTATTTAAACACCTTGTTGGTTTGCAGTAAAGCATAATTAAAACAGTGTTTCTAAGGCTTTCACCTGTATTAAAAAGATTTTTTAAAAAAGAAAAGAAGTTTTTAACAGTTATGTCTCCACTAATAATAATGACAAGTCAGTTTTTCATTCCTTTCCTCACCCTGGCTAACAAGTTTAACTAGATTTTCCTACACTGTATGTGTACACAAACATAGTTACTGAGGAAACAGAGGTAGAATAAACACAAACACTACAAAAGCCTGCTGATGTATTTCATAGTGATGCTTCCTACAAACACACAGGTCTGTTTCATAGGTGGTGAGTACAATCTGTGCAAAAGTACAATCTGTGTAACCTCAGAAGTGCAAAGTGCTGATCTTGGAGGGGTTATCCTGCTGCTGATGTCTTTCTTAAGAAGTTTCTTTTATAGTAATTGGAGAAAAAGTCTTTAATCATGAATAGTGTAAACATTTTATGGTTTAGATCTACATGGTTTTAATCTCTAATTAGACATCTACAAGTTGTAATGAGTTGTTCCTAGTCAGAGGAAGTGCCTAAGGTTTTCATTTTTTCATTGCATTGAAAAATGGGAAACAATACAATTTCTCAGCTATGTTCCGTCCTGCAAAATGCACCAATGTCACCCTCGGTCTTCTATTCTTTGTCCATTTTGCATAAAAATATATATTTTAAAACTAAATGCACTTTTCTCCAGGTATGATAACTGCTGGTATTGAAGAGAACACAAAATTTATTCTTTTCCTTGCTGCAGCAGGTTAGATGCTGTGTTTTCTGTATTCTCAGTCATAGAACCACAGAAAATTTTGGGTTGGAAGGGACCTTAAAGATCACCTTATTCCAACCTCTCTGCCATAGACAGGAAATCTTTCCCTAGACCAGGTTATTCACAACCCCTTCCAACCTGGTTTTGAACATCTCCAGGGATGAGGAGTCCACAACCATTGTGGGTAACCTGTCCCAGTCTTCTCATCCCTTCCACTTCCACAATTACCTTAGACTGGAATCAGTGAAAATACATTTTTCTGAGCTTAATCTGCTTTGTTGTTGACTGTGCCTTTTTGGGAGCAGCCACCCTTCCATCAGTGACAACTCTGCACCAGAAATTCTCTGGGGATGCTGTGAATACTCACCAGCTGTTCTTGGTTTTACAGAGCCTGTGGTCACCCTGGGAAGTGGAATGGATTCTCAAGGCATTGCACATTCAGGCCCCACGTCCGTGTCTGCATTACTGATCACTTCATATTAAACCTGCTGTAACCAACAAGCACTAATTGTATGAAAAAAAAAAGCTAAGTTTTATACTGTGTGTTGGCATCGTTGTGAATAATTTTGCCTATTTTCCTCCCCTTCATCATAGGCATGTTTTACCATATGTTACATTGTAATTATGTCCCCTGTATCTGGGGAATTCTATTTCTTTGCCTCCAGATTTGCTATACAATGTGCTGTAAGATAAATAGCTGTTAATTCATCTCTATTGTTTGTGTTTTTAACATGCTCCTGATCTCCAATTCTGCTTATTTAAAACCATGAAAGTCAAGATGCTTGTCTGGTTCTTTTTTGTTTATTTGTTGGGTTTTTTGTTAGTGTTTCTGTAAATTTAAAAATTAATTTAGCTCAGATTCCCCTACTGTGCACTGCTGCTTTAGAATTTTCTCTGCTGGATCTGAGCTAAGCACTTCCACAATTACATGTGCCATTTACAACACATCAATTAGATGCTTATTTGATCCCACTATATGCACAGAACACTATATTTATTCATGAGATATATCATGGAAAGAGCAGGATAAATAAACAATATGTACTATTATGATTTTTTTGGTGACCTTTAAAAAAAACAAGCAAGATATCTCATAAAAATGCCAAATCTTGCTTTAGACTTCATTTAATAGGTTTCAATGCAACCAACACTTGTGATTTTGTTCCGTTTTCATCCACAATGTTTTTTCCTGAAAACATGATTGAAAGTGCCATTTAAATTCATCTTTAAATGTGTCGTGTATTATAAATGCAGTTTTCCTCCAGTAAATAAAGCATTTTAAAATGGTTTTAATTAAAATGCCATAGGAATTATTGAAGGTAATTCAACAAAATTATATATTTTTTACTCTTTGGGAAAATTAAAATCTTTTGACAAAAATATTTCTTACCAAAAATACAAAAAAAGTTACCTCTATATGTTATGGGGCTTTGGGTACCGTGAAGTCTTAGAAAAGAATAACAAATGTTAAACTGGATTCTCACCTGCACTGATTTCAGTTACAAGCTCCTTTTCCTAAAAGCTGACACAGTCGTTCATCAGTAAAGTTTGAGCACAGAAAATACTCAGAGAAATCTTGTAGGTGCTTAAGCTCATTCAGGGTCAAAACTGTTAAACTTCTTAAATCAGCACAGTCAGATTTGGAGAAGAAACACAAGTCACAGTTTCTGGTGACTTTTCTTTAGATACATAAAATCTGCCTAACTAGATTGGTATATCTTACATTAAATATTCATTAATTGCTATTAAGAAAAGCTAATGAATAGAGTGATATTCTTCTTCTTTTTCTCCAGCAAGGCTTCATGCTGGCATGAAATTAGAAATTATGATACCTACGGCTTTACCTTACTACAGAGAGTTTACTTCTGAAATAGAACTCCCCTCTTCTCTCCACCACAAACTGCAGACTGCCCCCATCAGCACACTTGGCAAATCCTGCTGAGATGAAAATAATTTTCATCTAGTTAGCGAGAGCTGAAATGAACCCAGCTCATAGCTGATTGCAAGCAAATATTTTGAGAGCTTCGAGCTGCATTTGAACAAGAGATCCAGGACAAACAATCCTTGCCCAGTCACTAATCCCATTCATTAGGAGCTCAGTGATTACCTCATTAGTATGATTGAGCTTTCCCTGAGCCAGCTCACACAGCAGATCATTTGGCACTGATGCCCCAGGTAAAAAATTTCTCTGCTGAAACTACAGAGGTTGGCTGGCTTCAAGCAAGGAGGAAATCATGTGGCAACAAAGATGGGCTGTTGTGTATGATAGACTTGGTTATAATGGTAAATGTCATTAAAAATCCCCAAACAATTCATGAGGTCATTATCAAACAGTATATTCATGCTAAATCATAGAATTAGGAAATGGTTTGGTTTGGCAGGGACCTTCAAGGCTTGTGTAGTCCAAGTCCCTGCTACAAGAAATTGCTCTGTATCAGGTTGCTCCAAGCCCTGTCCCAACCTGGCTTTGAACATTTCCAGGGATGGGGCAGCCACAGCTTCTCTGGGAAACCTGTGCCAGGGCCTCACCATCCTCAGTATAAACAATTCATTCCTTATACCTAATCTAAACGTACCCTCTGTCAGTTTAAACCATTGCCTCTTGTGCTGTCATTACACGCCCTGCCTTTCTGTAAGCTCCCTTCATACATGGGAATGATGCAGTAAGGTCTGTGCAGAGCCTCCTCCTCTCCAGGCTGAGCAGTGGAGCACAGCAGCAGAGAGAGGAGAGGAGAGGAGAGGGAAGGTGTGAGAGGAGCAGCTCTGCACACACCCAGGGCAGTGCAGAAGGAGGGGCAGGAGCTGCTCCAGGCTCTGGAGCAGAGATTCCCCTGCAGCCCAGGGTGAGGCAGCTGAGCCCCTGCAGCTCTTGGGCTCCACAGGCTCCTGGCAGGACCTGTGACCCTCTGGAGAGAGGAGCTCACACTGGAGCAGGTTTGATTGTCCCCACAGCACCCCAGAAAGATTCCTGAAGGACTGTGCCCCATGGAAGGGACCTCACTGGAGCAGTTTGTGGAGAAGTGCAGCCCATGGGAAGGACTCACACTGGAGAAGTTCCTGGAAAACTGTCTCATGTAGAAGGGACCCCACACTGGAGCAGGGGAGGAGCGTGAGGAGTCCTCACCCTGAGGAAGAAGGATGAGCAAAGATGGGTGATGAAGTGACTGCAAACCCCATTCCCTGTCCCTCTGCCCCACTGGGGGGGAAGCAGACCAAGGACTGAGGAGTGAAGTCAAACTCACGGAGAAGAGGGGAGTGGGGGGAAGGCGTTTTAACACTTGGGTTTATTTCTCATCATCTTGCTCCGATTTCATTGGTAACAGATTAAACTGATTTCCCCAAGCTGAGTGCTTTGACAGTAACTGCTGAGTGATCTCACCTGATGGCATGCAGGACTTTGCTCTTGGCCTGATTTAACTTCACACAGTTCACATTTCCCAAGCCTGTCAGTCCCCCTCCCCAGCATCCTTTCCTTCTAGTGCATCAACTTCACAAACCTGCAGAAGGCTGCACTCAGTCCTGTTGTCTGTGTTAAATATTAAATATTGGATCATGCTGGCTCCAATATGGGCACAACTTGTTACCAATCTCCATTTGGACAATGAGCCATTGACTGCAAGCTTTGTTGCAACTGCAAGTGAAGGTTTGTTTTCTATTTCTTTAGTCACTTCATGGGTACATTTTCCTTTGCCCTCCTTGTAGAAAATACATCCAACAATGCCATTAACCAGCTGTTTTTGTTACTGATCCTTTAGGAGAAAATACAGGCACAGTTTCTTCTTCTTTACAATATCTCTGGCAGAGACACAGAGCTCAAAGATTTCCAACAGCAGGCAGCTCAGTTTGGCAGATCCTGCAAGCCACCATGGTGTAGAGGGTTAATTGGTAACAAATAGGTGAGAATAGGATATGACAAGGGAAAATTCTAATAAAACCTCTTTGTAAAGGTATTATGAGGAGCGAGACCATGCTGGCAACAGTGGAAGAGAAGTTAAAAAGATCCTGACAAAATCAATTAAAAAGAGGCATATCAGAGGCATAGTGAGATAAGTACCCAGTTCAATTATTAAGTTGTCAAGTCCTCTTAGTCTGGAGTGGAATAGGAAACAGTTTTTTCTCTGGTGCCTTAAGGATAAATGTGAACGTGAGAAAATAAACCTGTTTGGGTGCCTCGTGCTGCTGCTGGCAAGCCATGCAGGAGCCAGGGAAATTTCTCAGATCTGAGACCTTTAAAGATGAGAGTTTGCCCAAGCTGTATCCACAAAAGGAGATAGATCTCAAAACTGATAGTGTTGCACATACAATCATCTCTTCCACAATTTCTTGACTTTTTCTCCCCTTCTATGACACATGTGAAAAATTTTACTATTTATGTATGTACAGTTCCAGGAGTCAGACTTTGATGATCCTTGTAGGTTCCTACCAGCTCAGGATATTCTATAACTCTGTGAAATCTGCTGTGCTGGGAAAACAGCTGCTTGAACTGAGCAGGAGGAAGCCTTGAGGAGCCTTCTCTGCCTCTGTCAGCACAAGGTAGGACATGAGGACAATTCTACTACCTCAGCTCAGTGCTACACATCACTTGTTATTCTGTCTCCAGCACTGGCAAAAGCAAGTAAATAGGAGACAGAAAAAGTACCTTCGATCTTTTCTTCCTAATTATCTCACACTCTTCAATCCTAATTTTTCCATTGTGAAGATTTCCTGGTGATAGTGTGTCTTGAAAACAAGTTTCAAAGATCTACTACTGACAGGAGAAAAAAAAATTCCCAAAATCCAAGGGTTTGTTTTTATTGTTTATTCTTTTCTCATTTAATTTGACTCCTACTACTATAATTTCATATCCATTTTTTTCCTTCCATTGGCAAAAGGTGTTGACAGTCTGTCTCAATTCACCCATTCTACTTCATCATAATTTCATAGGCTGTTAAACAGAGGATATAAACCCCAAGAGAGAAGATTTAGATTAGATATTAGAAAGAAATTCCTTATAATAAGTGTGGTGAGACTCTGGCACAGGCTGCCCAGAGAAGCTGTGGCTCCCTCATCCCTGAAAGTGTTCAAGTCCAGGTTGGAGTAATCTGCTCTAGTGGAAGATATCCCTGCCCATGGCAGGGGATTGGAACAAGACGATCTTTAAGGTTCCTTCCAATCCAAACCACTCTCTGATTCTATGATATGCTGACTTTTAGGCAGCTCCATCCATCTGAGAGGCTTTCAGTCTTTATCCTAAGCTAGCAGGGGACCTGTTATCTCCTGTGCATGGTGCATTCTGATCCAAAGCCAACTGAAGTTATTGGACATATCAAGCATTTTATTTTGCTCTTTCACTTATTTTGATAATTTCTTAGGCAAAAACCAGAGAAAGCCACAAAACTGAAAAGGCAGTGATTGACACATTTCTGCACTTTAGTATTTCGCGCCTCTAAGAGCGGACGGAGCGAAAGCGAAGAACGATGGAGCAGGTCAGCAGATCACTCTCTAACAACTTATTAATCTGCAGTTCTGTCAGTCCAAGGGGACTTGAAACACTGAAAGTGGCTGCAATTCATCCATTTAGTTTAAGTGTGTTAACCCACATAATGAGGTGCAGTCTCTTCCAAGGCAGCAGCCCAGAGCATATTAATGATCCCTCACATGGAGTCTGGGCTGTGCTTCTCATGTGCTCACTCATTACAGGCTTCCACACTCTGGAACTGAGCTCAACCTAATTAGACCACAAAGAAATATTGTTATAATTGGTCTGGGGCAGCTCAGTAATACGTAATAAGGAAGTT